TATTTTACAAATCTCAGCTCAAAAGGAAAAGCTGTGAAAGAATCATTACTATCCTTAAGCTCAGGAAAACAATCAGATAATATCTGCTCCTGATTGTAGCTCTGAAATGTAGTTGAGCAGTGCCACTGTACAGACCTAACAGAGAACCAGTGAACTCTCTGCTGGGTCAGATCTCCCTGGCAGCACACTGTGCCAGAGGATTTGTAGTATCCAATATACACAGTATAATAAACATACTTTAAAGTATTCTTTAATATTAATTAATATTTGCTTTAATGAAATGTTCATGGCAACTTACTATTTACCAACAAAGAGAACTGATTTGACAGATTCATCAGTAAAATAATGAAAAGGTATTTCACTGTAATCTTTCACAAATCCATACAATACACGTACTTTTAAAAAATAGCAAAGAAATCATTACCACTCTGAAAGGTGACAGATTGGTCCCAAAGCTCAGTAGGCCAATCAAAACAACCAAGCTATCAAAAACATTCCACTTGTTCTGAAAATAGTAGTAAGGATCTAGAGCAATGATTTTCAAGATCATTTCTAGTGTAAAAATCAGGGTGAAGACCTGGAAAGACAAAAAAGACATTCAGAAAAAAGTCACTCAAGAAGTCTGTCTCCTTATGGGACTATTCCAGTATAAATACAGGATTATAACTCCATATTCACCCTAACATAGACCCCACTTACCTCATCACTTATAGTAAACATTTTTCTGGTTTCTGGCAACATGTCAGGGTACTCAATAGCCATGAATAAAGTGTTCAAGATAATGCAAACTGTGATAAAGAGATCAACAAATGGATCCAAAATCACCAATTTCACCTTCTCTTTGACTGCTCTCCAGAGTGGACAACAATTCCAAACCAGACACTTTAGAGCAAAACGTTTCCACAATGCAGGACATTTCACTTTTGACTCTAGCAGAGAAAGAGGGAAAGTGGCATATGAATAGTCCTATGTGGAATATCAGAGTGTGAAGAAAAAGACAGTCAGAGAAAAGATTGGAAAGAAAAATCAATCTCATATGAGCAGAATGGCATCATTGAAAAGAGTTGTTTCACTCCTACTACACAAAACAGGTTACACTAATCCCAGGTTATTGCAGGTCACCATCAACAAATCTCATAATGACAGAAACAGTGGATATTCCCCACCTCTTCATATGTTTATTATTCTTTCCTGTGAGGCTGGGGAGGCCCTGGCACAGGTTGCCCAGAGAAGCTGTGGATGCCCCATCCCTGGGAGTGTTCAAGGCCGGGTTGGATGGGACTCTGAGCAACCTGGTCTAGTGGAAGGTGTCACTGCCCATGGCAAGGGGTAAGAATGAAATGATCCTTTATGTCCAATCCAACACAAACAGTTCCATGATTCTATGATTACACGATTAAAGGATGATAAAGGATCTGCATTAAGGAGAGAAATCACTGTTTCTGGGACAATGACAACCTGTTTCCTGTCAGTTGAACCTGCCCAGCCACAGGTGTCCATAGCTGAGGACAGGGCTATAAGGGAGGTTGGAGGAGAGCTCAGGAGATCTGTAGTGC